CTACTACTACTACTACTACCACGCCTACGGCTATGTGGCTAGGACTACTGCTACTACGGCGACGACGACGACAACGACGACGATAAGGACAACGATGACCACGACGATGATGACGACGACTACTACTACATACTTTATTGTTATAGAAATCATGGTCGTTGTTATTTGCATACAGCGGCAGCATCTCACACACAAGATCCTGGCGCCTACGGCAAGTACTTCTTCTGTCCATCCCAGGTGTCCGGAGGCCGCCTTGGCTTCCACTTCCGAGGGTTAGAGTGTAGAGTTTAAGGGTTCGGGGTGCCCCTGTACCCCAAACCCTTTGCAGAGGTTGCTCGCCGGGATCCGCCGGGATCCTAAGCCGCACAGCCGGGGCACACGATGTAGCGGTCGACTTCCCTTAGCTGCACGGAACTGCCCTCACGCGCTCGATCTGCCGCTTTCGATGTGTCGCCGCGACTCCGATCGTTCTCGGTTGAATGTTCGAAGTCCAACACAGACGGAGCAAACGTCGGAATGAGAACGAGGCATTTCCCAGACCTCCGTCTAACCCTAAGACACACGACGTTGCATGGGCGACACTTTTTTTTTCCGTTTTGGCTGCAACGAATCTTCGCAAATCGCTGGGGAGGCGTCGCATGACTCCTCCCACAGATAGTCATTCAAGAGCCGCATTACTTGTCAACCCTGACCCGGGTTGTTCTGCTCGAGGGTTTGCCATTTGCCGCGTGCGACGGCCATATCCCATGTAACAAGGGCTCCACAAACAGCATTCACAAGCAGGAGAACCCGCGACTTGGATCATATGATTTCATGGTTTACAGAAGGCGGCGATTGGCATCCAGTCCGCCTGCTGTCATGATGACAAGCATCAGTACTGTGTTACCACGCCGTCGTTTTTGCGGTTTAATTCCGTTCGATTCGCATGGGTTAACTAATGCGTCATGGTCGATATGGTTCCTATTTATGCATACGTATGTATGCATGCGCTACCAGATTGGGTTAGAACAGGTTTGAACCGCCCAGTTCACGTCTATGCCTCTAACTAAGTCTAGGTGTACTACATTTACATACATACATAAATGCATGCATGCATGCATGCAGACAGACAGACACACAGACATACACTACGTCAAGACTGGCATCACGCGAGCTCCAACGTACTCGGGCCAAGTCTCTCCCAAGGCTGCCAGAATAAAGCAAAGCGTTTGACGGGCACCTGCCGCTTGAAGCCGAAAGACGGCTTTTGCTAGAAACTGCTGGTGTTGCGAGCACTAGTACAAAACTCGTATGTTCAAAAAATGCTGATGCTGCTACTGCTACTGCTGCTGCTCCTGTTCGGGCTCCCTATCTGTGACATCGGCAGAAGTTGCAGAGGCTCACTTCCTTAACTCTCACAGGGCTGATAGCTACCAGGAATAGTCGTGGTAGTTGTCTTCCTCACAAGAGCTGTCTATAAATCGTCGTCGTCGTTATCGTCGCCGTATAGCCGGAGAAGTAGCATTAGTAGTCGCCATCGGTGGTAATGTGGCAGTACTTGGTGACTGAGTAAGTAAGTAGTGGGAGTAATCACCATGGAGTAGTTCGTAGGTCGGATGTACCGGTTAGTAGCTCTTAGTCTTGTTCTTAGCTGTTACTTCGTCGTTCATGATTAGTTAGGCAGCTAGTTTGTAGCAGTAGTCGTCGTCGAAGTGGTAGTGACGGCGGTGGTGCCAGTAGTGGTAGCAGCCGTGGTCGTCGTCGAGGTGGTAGCACTGCCGGCAGCACTTTCCACAAACACGGCACAAGAGATAGACTCAACATGACCCAACAAAATACCGCGAGCAGCAGCACATGCACGTTGTTGATTGACACAAGGTCAAGGGAAACCTGGCGGAACATGTGAAAAGAAGTGGAACATGTGCAGCTGGGCCGTAAGAAGACGTCTAGAAAACAGACCCGGAATTCCGGACCCTGCTGCAGTCTATGATTCACGCAGGCGCCTGGTGCTTCTCAAGTTGAAGTCTCAGTCGGTAGCAACCTCTTGGGCAGAGTCTTTCCGGATTACTGTGCACTGGCTCACAGGCGATTTCTGCTGCAGCGGCTACTAACTGCTACTAACCATTTCGAAGACAACCAATGTGCACCAGCTGCTTCTCCACCTCTGCACGATCATGAACGAAGTATAGTACAACGAGTGATGCACCGACAACAACAACGGCAGCAACGGCAACAATAACCACAGCAACGACAACGACAACAACCACAAACCAGAAACCAGAAACCAAAAGCACATAACCCCACAACCACAACTACAACTGCAACCGCAACCGGCAACCGCAACAACCACAACCGCAACCACACAACAGCAGCAGCAGCAGCTGCAGCAGCAGCAGCTAACAGGCTGGACTGATGATGGGGAGGCAGGAGATTATGATGCAGGTTCGCGCTCTGTCATTCATCAGGTTCATCTCTAGTGACGCCACCGCAAACAAGATCTCTGCTCCATGATATATAACCTTACCCTCACTATACTCCTCCTGCCTCCTGCTGTCGCCAGTCTTAGCATCACAATCAGCACATATCAGCACCAACTTCATCACCATCGCTGCTTTGCTACGCCAAGTTGCAATCATCAGACCTGCAGAGGCAGGGTGTTCAGCAAACTAGAGGCTCTGCTTGGGGACCGCGTATTCGGGGGTCACTACGAGGACCCCCTAATATACTGAAACTCCGCCTACCAAGTTCCAACAATATAAAGCCGCAGTTTCAGGATGTTTAAGGTTTGGGGCCTTGAGACGGGAAACAGAAACATGACTTCAATCTCGAATTCAGATGAGACAGTATCGTGGCCCAGGTGCCTACCAAGAGATTGGAACTCTTTCCCGCTCTCTCTGTCTTTGTCTCCATCTGCCACTGCATTACTAGTGTTCCGTTTTGAATGTTCTGGATCTTTGTATCAACAACGGCTGAAAATCGAAGTCTGCTCGAACCCGGGCTGTAAACACAAGACCAAACACAGAATGTGGGAGACAGCCCTGTAATTTTGCCTCACTTTAAGTATGCAGTATGCAGTTTCGGTTTAGGGCTCAAGGTTTAGTAGTACCTGACATGCTCTCTTTGAGATACAGCAGGGAACCTGACGCTCTCCCTGGAGTAGTTCCAGCAGTAGTCAGCGCCAGCGTATTGCCGCCTGTTCTTTTGACGGGAGTCACAACTGGGCACACGTGCGAACATGTCTTTTTAACTAGACACTCTGAACCTCTGGTCAGCTTTTTTGAGACTACGCCTGTCTTGCGATTAGAAGGGCAGTCTTTCAACACTGTGGCGCTACACCCGAAGGCTCTACTGCGGCAGCACTAACATCATTAAATAGCAGTGCACGCTGAAGAATATTTTTGAGTTCTGTATAGGAACACGGCATCAGAGGAGTGGGAGCAGGCGGAGCTGCATGTACAATCGAGACAGGGTGAAGCAGCACACGAAGCAAGTTGGCACCGGCAGCCGAATGGATTGTGGGGATTTTAAAGCCCATGTGGGTGTCCTGGGTTCGTGATTTAAGGCTACTACGTAAACTCCTGAAGACCACCATTCTGATCCGAGACAGCCATCAAGATCCCGGCTCCCGCGCCATCCCTTCGCTGTGCTCTCAAAAGCTCTGGTCAACATTTCAGAAACCACCTAAACCTAAGGGAAGCTTCGAGAGCAGTATGGGGTTTGGGATGTCGACTCTTGCACTTACACACAAACCAGGATGCAGTGTTCCTTTCTTCTGCTAAACGGCCCTGCCCCTCTCAGTCAAGTCTGCAGCCTCGTTGCCGAAGTTGGAGGTTTGGGATTGTAGGATTGGCAAATATTCTGTTGGAAGTGCCATTGGCCTATCCTTGAGAGACATCATGACGCTATAAGCCCTGAGCCCTACAGGCGAAACCCTACTCGCAAGAAATGTAAGAATCTAGTCTCGCCCCGCTGCCGGAAGCGTCGGATCAAGCCCGTAAGATCTACGGATCATCTATTGGCTCGCAAGTGAACGGAGAAGATTCAGCTGCGCTAAGATGCAGACGTGCTGAAGTAGATCGCGGCATATCGCCGGGGAAGCATGGCAAAGGTATCCTGTGCTCTCCAATTAGTTCAGTTTCAGCAATGTCGGTTCAAACCCAAGCTGGAAAGTAATTAGCACGTCCCTCATGCAAACCAGGTCGTGGGATTCAGCATGGACACCACAACATGCCAAAACTTATGTCTTCGAGGGCCCTCGAATTTGAATCCTAGCAAAGACTGAGAGTGGGTTGTGCTGGCTTTATGTACTGCACGCATGTAGTAGCAAACCAAGCTGTGTCCGACCCCTCTTCTGTCCACTACTGCAAAGCTCGGCTCTAGGCTAACGATCTAAAGTAATTAGAAGCCTGCAAAGATACTGTAGCTTAGGGCTGCGATTATGATTGTGAAATCATATCCCCGCGCACACCCTGTTTTGAGCACGAAGACTGCCATGTTACAGCAGGTCGAACCAATAACACGACACCGGCAGCACACTGCGCAAGTTATGTAAGACAACCCCAGCAACTTTTCGAACTCGGGCTTGGAAGGCGAGTATCGTGTGGGTCCGTCCAGCTGCCGACCGGCAAGTGAACTTTGTCGGGGTCGAAAACCCGGATGTTGCCAACCGGCTTACCTGAGAAAGCTTGAAGCTCTTTTTTTCGATTCGACTATGGGGGGAACATTGAAGCTCCTCTTAATCGAACCTTGCTGACGTGGGTTCTACCCCAACTAAAATTCAAGCGAAACCTGACAGCTCCCATCCCTGCTGTTCAAAACACGCAGCAGTCGGTGAAAGCATTTCGCACTACAAGATGTGGCCCCATGCACAAAGAACTCACCACTACTACAAGTATGTTTCCATTCTCAAACGCTTTAGAAGCATTAATCTGCAAGCACGGGCCACTTCACAAGCTGCATCAGCCAACCAATACAGCAAGTAGAGGTATGAGACCTGATAGCTATTTGCTGTCATTGCCGACGTCGTCGTAAGCTTAATCGCTGACGACGTCACGGCGACGACCACGGCATGCGACACACGACTGCGGCGGCGACTACCACGACGAAGACTACTACGAGTACCACTAGCCATCGTCCTGGCCGTCGTCGTTCTAGCACGAAACCTTGTCGGAGTGATAGTGACCGGATCCGGACGATGGCAGACGGCAACAATGACAGCTGGAGTTTTCTGGTGCGTAGGCTCCTATGAGCAAGATCAACATGCAGGTTCATATGTAAACGCGCCTACAGAAAAATAACAAAGGACTACGTGGCATTCAAGTGTAGTGCTTCCTAACCAGAGGCCTTTAAAACACACACCCCACGCACACATGAACTCGTACAACATGTCTCTCAACCTGACGTGCAAAGGAAGAGCCCTCCAAATGAGAAACACCATGCAGGTCGTAGACTTCAAGCGCAGCCCAAGGAGCTAAAAAACATGTCAGTGCGAACACGGATTACCCAATCGAATGGCTGGTGGCGCTGCTGCCTTGGATTGGGGAACCGGGTCTCTGCTTGATTCTGTGACCAGCCAGAAGACTAAAACTAGGTTTACGGCTAAGGGTTTAGGGTTTCAGTAGCTGAAGCTCCTATGGACCCTAAGACGGCGGTTCGATGCTCGCAGAGGTGCGCGTTTCAGGTCATGGCCACAGAGCCCTCAGAAGAGGATTCACACCTGAAGCTCGTTCTGAAGCTGATGGAACCTTGTCACGGATTTACAGGTGTTGTGGATTCCCTAGCTTGTGTCATGATGAAGGCCACCAGCTGGAATCTCTAAGACACGCCTACGTAGGTTCACAGCTCTCTGCATTCGGGGCCCCGGCTCCAGCCGCACACAATGTGGGGGATTTGCACGATAGCATGGCCGAGGTGCACATGCAGGACCCTGTAGCTGCTATGTAGAATGACCGGAGCAGCCTCATAGGGAATAGCTCACCCGGTAAAACAAGGCAACCGATCCCTCTCACGGTGGGCGGACATGTCTAGAAAATACTTTACCTCTGGGTGTCTTCATATGCAACACTTTCTAAAACAGCTTCAACGGAGCATGACTTCAACTCGGCAGTTTTGGGCACGCCTGTATACCTGTCATGAAGAAGCAGACGACACCCAGAGTGTAGGCTGATTGGCAACCGTAAACATCTGTGTTTCGGCAGTTCGGTTCACCCTTAGCCTTCCAACTCATGACACATGGTGCTCCAGCGCCAGAACGTACGTCATGCACATCTCCAGTCGTCGCCACTGCGCATTACCTTGGGGCAAATCAGGCCGCTGCAGTCACCAGGCTTGAGCAGTTTTGCTCTTGTTGTGATAGAGAAGCTGATGTTGCTGACTATGCTGGTCACGATCTTGACGATGTTGGTGATGATCGTGATGACGCTCTTGGTGATGACAATGATGACGGTGATGATAATGATGATCGCACCCAGTTGCTCAGTGCAGTGTTTATCTAGACTTAACTCCTCAAGCAGGTGTCTCAGCAAACAACGGATGCTCATCTAGACCCCCAAGACGAGAGAACCTGTCCCTCAGCGAAGCCCCCTAAATTCAGGCATAAACCCTAAGCGAAGCCCCCCAAATTCAGGCATAAAAGGAGCCTCAGAACCTGACTGAAGGGCAACTGAGCAACAGCATGGATAGGAATTTAAGCACACTCGGGGAGAGATGGCCCTGTACAAGACTGATGGCCACGTCCTTTCGGGGCGCCTAGGTCAGACGTATGTAAAAACCTTCTGTAAAGACGATACTGAAGCCAATGAACAAGTAGTCACTGACTTCGACTTTAGGGCTTGGTGCATCTCTTGAGTTACTTCCTTACAATCTGGCACGGCAATCCAAAACACCCACTTAAGCCTCACAGTGGCAACAGTACACATACGTATACGGCTGGGCCAGCCGTACCTGGGAAACCTCATCCACAACACCCGAACCTCCAAGACTTGTGACTCAAAACTCTCGGGCTCGCAACATGTTTTACACTCCTGCTGATCAAACATGGCACCAGCTCTAGTAACACTTCGAAGCTCCTCCGTGAGGCATTATGTAACACCAGCAGCAAAACGAAAAGCTCTTCAAAGCCCGAAAGATCAAAACTCTTGCTTTGAAGATGCAAGCCGGCGGGTACTTCACGTGGCATTTGCGGTCCGGGGGAGGTCCTCCAGCATTGCGGCATGATGCTAAGGCTGCTGCTAGAAGGACCCTTTGATGGCCTTGGAATCCTGTAGAATTTAACGGTGGGGTGTGGAGCTTGGGGTGGTTTGTGAGCCGGTACACAACAGCCTTTCAGGCACCTACTCATATAGCTCCGTCCGGACCCTGGACATCTCCGAACACTAGGCATTTCCGATCGAATCTCGCAGGCCGACAGAATACGTGTGGGCATCGGTTTGCAAGGCTTCCAGATGTCTCCAAGGCAGCTTCCGCGGAAACTTCGACATGATGCTGAACAGGTGGAGTAAACCAATCTTCCACCGGCCTTTCAACAAAGTTCAACAAATCTTAAAAATCTGTCCGCAAAAAGTCCTCTGGCAAACAGCATTCGAACTTGGTGTGTGTGTGTGTGTGCGCGCGCGTGTGTGTGTGTGTGTGTCTGTGCGCTACCCATGTCCCCAAGCATCAAAGTCTGCTCTCTCCATATATCCGAAACCTTACATACCTTAAACTCCCTGCAGGCAAAACGTTGCCGTTGGCTCTTTCGTTATGTCTCTGTCTTGCGGTGTCCAGCATTTTCTGGTGAGCACCGAAAATGGAGAGGGAAAGCAACCAAGACATGAACTTTGAAGCCCATAAGCTTAAACCCTAAAGCCCCAAAACCGAAAGAAGCCTTCCAGCAGAACTGGGATGTTGACCACCACGTCCTGCAGTCGCTGCTCTTGGCACTTGGCTTCGGGGCATCTTTCGAACATTGATCCAAGCAGAGCAAGTGAGGTTCTACAGTGGAGAAGTTCACACTAGTACAATAGATCTCCGGAGCCCCAACAGCTTTTAAAGCCAAGGGAGTCTCCAGGGGATGGGATGAAGGGAGGAACCGAATCTTCGATTGAAGTGCAACCCACAAGGGCAGTCGGTTTAGATCCGAATGCTCTGGAAACATGCCAAGAAAGAACTGACAAAACCGGGCCTTGGCAGCCTTAGCGTTTCTGGACAGCTTCAGAGAAGCCCTTTCCAGTTCCAGCACCAAAAGTTGGGGGTGTTACTGTCTGAGAAGCAAGACCTTTGCATGCAAAGTATCATGAAGCAGAAGAACCTGACCTCCTTTCTGAACAAGTCCAAAATTCTTGTCAACACAAGCTTCGCAACACTATGATGTGATACGCTGTGGCTGTTTCAAGTTTTCGAGAGGCGTAAGAGACACCGTCAAATCTGGAGACAGCAAAGGGCTTCGGGCGCGGAATCGCAACCCAATGATGGCCACGAGGCCAAATCATCACAGCTGCAAGACCGAACAATGGGAATGGCGATCAGTTTATACCCGCCCATTTATGCATTGCTGTCCGGCGCGATGGCTTTGAGGGCGTCGGCTGCGTCTGCCCAGCTCCGCCGCGGATTTTGGCTCCTGTTCTTTCGTGCAGGACTGTCAGGTTAAGGTTCTGCAGGCGTACTCCTAGCTAGCCAAAGTGTTCAACTCCGCAACTGTCTTAGTCAGGCTTGTCTCATCCTGCAACTTGGAATGGGAAGTAGATGTCGGACGGCGATTGCACAGGTCAGAGACTCGAAAGCTCTCAGGAGCCGGGGCAGAATTCTCAAAAAAACACACAATAACAATAACAGTAACACTTGTTATTTATGTTTGTACTTGTCGCTCTTGTTGTTGTCATGATAGCAGTTTTAAGTTGTACGGCCAACGATGTAAGCAACATGAGACGAATGCTGCCTAGGATGCTTTGTAAATTCTTTAGACGCAGCTTCAGGGTTCTGGGCAGTGCGACGAGAGAAATTTCTCCAAATACTCAGTTGAAGCTTTATAGTGAGGCTGGTATGCAATATGTGCTCCAATGTGTTACTATGTAGCCCTGTGCCATACAATCTAAGAATCAGACCAAATTCGCTGAAGCCGAACGTGGGGGCCTGAATGGTTAGCACTGTGATTCGGGGGATAGCCTGGCATTGTTTATTTGGGACTTTCAACTTTCAGGGACTACTGGTGCATGCTACTACCAGTTTCCTCGATCCCTACTAGTCCCAAAAACTTTATAATGGTGCAAACCCGGGTGGCTCGATTTGAACTATGAGTCTTCGCTTCTTCTACAGAGCCTTTTGACTGCAATGCATTCTAAGCCCTCAGAAACCCCAATTTGGTTTAGGGTTCCGGGTGTGGAATCCTCTTCAGAACCCGCTCCGAAGAACGGTGGCTCCCCCCCCTCTCATCGCTGTTATGGACAAAAGTACACAAAAAGACTCCAAAACCCCTGATTTTTGTTGAGCCCGTGTTGAACCGAGGTTTAATTACGATGGAAGTGACATGTCGACAGCAAGAGCCCTGAATTAAGGAATAATCGACCTTAGGTCGCATAAGGGTTCCCAAAATAACTTGAGGAAGCTTCCTTAATGGGTTTTTTGAGTCTCTGGGAACTCAATCCACAGCCCGGAGCTCCTTTCGCTCTCAGGGGCGTGATCGCCGAATTCCGTGACTAGGATCGTGTTGAGCTCGGAAAAGCTCAGCGAGTCCAGCAACTCAGATGACGAGGTTTAGGGCTGAGAGAAAAAGCCTTGGGGTTTCAGACATGTGTTTGAGAGTGTGGCGGGTTTCGAGTTAGGGCTGAAGACAGCTTTTCGCCAGTGTAAAGCAGCATCGTGCTTGGTGCCTAGGGTTTTGGGGATTCCGGGTTTATGATCCGGTGGCCTAGCGTTTCGGGTTTAGGGGGTGAAAGTGAGCTCGGGCTTTTGTTGAGCATCGCTGATGTGCTTCCTGTCATCACCTTGGATTTCCTTAGCAAGGTGAGGGCGCCCATCCTCGGCATTTACTGAAGCCGCCGGTTCGGTTTGAGGACGCACCCAAGGACATCATGTAAACCCGTACAACGTGTACCCCATACCTCTACGATGTCCTGTATTATGTCATATAACCCCTCCACCCCCCCTCCCCCCACCCCACCTCCCGCCCACCCGTGGTACCAAAAAAACGTTTGGCATGTTGACTTTGACGTCCGAGCAATGAGCTGCTGAAATTGGCTTCCTGTCAGGAAGATGCTCGGCCTTTGCCAAAACCGGACCTATGTTATAGGCAACCGGACTCATACCCGGGTCTGGGTAGGCAACCGAGAACCAAGTAATACACCCCAAACCGCACATCCCAAACTCCAAACCTTGAACCCCAAGCCCCAAACCCAAACACGTAAAGTTGGAGGCAACCGAACGTTGTCTTCGACAACCCAGCTGCAGATACCTGGCTTAAAATTTACGGCTGCTTACGGTGGAGGGTGTGTTTAAGGGTTAGGGTTGGGGTTTGCAGTTTTGGATTTACGCTCGACTCTCAAAGCGTAAGCCAAGCTAGTAGAAACAGATTGTTGGCACCTTGCTGCCGCAACTGGCAAGCAATTGCTTTTGTGCTCAACATTAAGCCTCAGAGCGCCAACTCGCACCACAGCCAAGTGTCGTTTGTTCGAAGGCTCTGGTACACCTGAGGCCGGTCTTTGTTCTTCTGGGTATTTCTTCTCCCACAATCTCCAATACAGCTTGTTGACTAGCTGTTTTGTTTGCTGGCTGCGAACACGTTCGTTCAGGGGGATACTTGCAACTGAACCCTCGACTGTGCTCTAAACCGAAGAATCCCCCGCTGTTTGTTAACCCCCTCCCCTTAAGCCTAAACCCCAAGCCCACAACCCTGAGCCCGAAACCTCAAGCCTGGAATCCCAAAACCCTAAGCTCTAAACCCTAAAACTAAAACCCTAAAGCCCTAAACCCTAAAAGGATGGAGCCAACGAAGCCTTAGGGTCTCCGATGCTCCGCGGGTGGCCCGCAATACCTCGCCCCGGGGAAAATTGAGACAGGTCGAGGGTTTAGGAAGGCTTAGGGTGTAGGTTTTTCAGGGTTTGGGCTTTGAGGTTTAGGGGTTTTAGGGTTTGGGGTGCCCTGTCAGAGGAACAGGGCCTTGACTTGCCCAAGAAGCAGGGTGCCGGGCGGCGAGGTCTATCAATACGACACCGACGTTCAGAGTTCAGGGTGACAGTCAAGGGATGTCAAGGGTTTACGGTTGTCGAGCCTGGAAGCTTTCGGGAGCAAAAACAGCTCTGAGATCTCCGTTGCTCTGCAAGTACAGCTTTCTCTAAACTACGCTGTTCTAGAGTCTGTATCCGAAGGGTTCCACCATTGAGGTGTATAGCTGTAAGTGTTGCTCATTCACTGAAACTCCCAAACTAGGGAACGTTTGGATCAGGGGGGCTCAGACCGAAGGATTTGGATTGTCTAACGTTTCTGGCGTCAAGGGCTTCAGATGCACGGAATTCGCAAGGCTTGTTCGATTTTGCACCCCTGGGATTTAGGGTTTAGGGTTTCGAATTTAAGGTCTGGCGGGCTTTCCTTTCTGTCAAGACTGACAGGATTCCGCAGGAATCATGGAGCGGTTCGGGTTCGAGGCTTTCGGGCTTCCGAGACTGTAACCTTATAGGTTATCGCTTCGGCATCAGCAGCGTTTGGTGTTGAACATGCTTGATCTGCTAAAAGTCAGTCTGTAGGGGCCCTGGGGTTGGGCGTCGCAGTGTCTGTGGTTTGACGATGCGGGGCTTCCGGTGTGTTCAGGCTTTTGCTGGGCGCGGGTCGTTCTATAGGGTTGGAATCAGGGTTGAAGCTTCGAGGATTTTACAACCTCTCGGTGAACTGCTAATCACGTCTATTGAATCCCAAGCCAAACAAGCGCTTGGAACGCAGGACTTCCCACGGTGGATGGAGGAAACCTTGCACCACGTACATATTCTGATTGGGGTACACCCCCAAGGACATTTGACGACGGATCGGCTATGTTGCAGCGCAAGATTCATGTCAGTGGAACGATTTTGCAAAGCACCGTCTTCATAACAATGTAAAGAAGCGCGAGGGGGGTGAAGCTAGTTCACACATCTTAAAAGCGGTGCAAGATTTCCCTCATCCAGGGTAGTACTTCCTAGGGTTCTAAAAGATTTTAGGGCTCTAGAAGGCTTTGTAGAAGACTTAGTCTAGT